TCCAATGCAGAGTCCAAGGGCCCCACTGCTGGCAGACTTTGCATTTGATCCCTCTCTGGCCAGTGGTTAGACAGGACCTAAAATGAATAAATAGACCACATATATCATTACATTACTTTTTATTCTTTGTTAGTGATATTTAGTATTGTGTTTTATTGCTGTCATCAAGGCTATTCCCCCTTTCATTCTCATATTAGATTTTGGCAAAGCCCTTCACAGGCAATAAAAAGAGATAGAGTCTTATAGACCTTGTTTTATTGTTCATTGTTCCTGTGTTTATCCACTTAGTTCATTTAAATCTCATAGTGCCATCTTTATTTTTAACTAACATTATAGCGGTTGGCCAGGGACTCTTACTTATTCTTCTATGATCCCTCCCTCTTACATCTTCTTCATTATTTCTTTCACTTCCTGTTACAGGTGTGGTGGGATGGTCCTGTACGTTCCTAAATTTTGAGTAGAGCCCTATTTAATATTTCAAGAGTGATACAGTCAGCGCATCCATAGTCAGACTCTTGTTTATCTCTTAATTGTTCTAATTTTGCCTTTTTATCAAGAGACTGCTCAGAAAATTCCTTCCTATGCTAGTGCAAGGTTCACTTTAATGTTTATGACATTTCTCCACTAATCAATGTTTTCTGAATGCTAGCAAAGCCTCTACTGAACACCAAAAGTGACTGTTCAATATAGAATACCTAAATGAGTGACAAATGGACAGAACAATTTACTTCTGCAGGGGGTGTAACTGTGAGAGCTAGTGAAAAGAATGAGAGTTACAGAGTAAATATAAACCAATGCCAAGTCTTTATTTATTTTGAAAGAGACAGAATGCCAGCACGTTTGACATGATTTGGTATGGACTAAAAACAAAGCTTTAGCACTCCCTTTAGGCATTTGCAAGACCTTAATAAAAAAGATAGAATTAAAAAAACAATAACACATGATTGAAGAGATCATTAGAAATTAAGGTATTTTAGGTAAAAGAGGCACAATTATGGCAACAGTTTGCTACACAGAACTAACTTCTAGCAAAGTAATCCCACAGATGTACAATAAAATGTGCATATATAAGATATACATATTTAATGAGTTAAGAAATATGTATACACAGAGTTCTTAATTTTAGTGCTAGAACCCTAAAACATTAGAAAGCTCTGTATTCCTGTGTTTTAATAGGCATAATCTATGGCTGAAAACAGATCCTTTGCATAAAAACCTCACAAACAACTTTCCCCCCATTTCCCACGGGCTTAAAGTAGAATTAAACTCTCCTTTGTTTTTGCACATATCTACTGCTAGCAAGCAGTAGATATATGCAAAAACATTTAAACAAATAAAAAAGTACGAAAATGGTTTTGCCACTCGCTCCTGTCTGAAGCTTCATCCTGCACGGCCGCTCGAGATGGGGTGCACACATGCACAGTAGAGATATTTGGCAGGGAGAAGAGAGACAATGGAGCTAATTGCACACAGACGGGAGCATGCATGACATACAACGGACAGACACTGTGGGGCAGGAAGAGACACGCGGTGGATCAGAGACTGGCACAGGCGCTGGAGGGAGTGCTGAATACAAGTGGAAGTAGGAAGATGATTGGATCAAGAGGCATCTTTTAAGGTAAGTCCTTAAAGCAGCATGGGGAGGGGAGGAAAGAATGTGAGACTTTAATGTCACTTGGATAAAACGTTTACTGCTTTCTTGACATGTGTAGTTTCAAGAAAAATTGTGTCTTTCTGTCATAAAATAAATGTCTTCAAACACATTTGTACTATATTTGTACTATATTTGTTCTATAAGAGAGGGCCATCAGTTCATGGTCAAGGGCTTGCTACTGAGCTTATGATTGACTTAATAGGTAGATTTGTACTTGTTCTTGCTTAAAGGCTTGAAATAGACAAGCATAGGTTGCTAAAATTGAAATTGCTGTATAGAAACCATGAAAATATAATGCTGTTTTTAACATTGAACACATTGTTAGAAGAGTGTACAATATAAATCAGCATAAAGTTGAACTTGCATAAATGATAGTTTTACATTTTAGAGGCTCTGGGTATACATCAATACAGTCACTGTTATTTGCAAGGTGTCCTAGTTATGTAAAAAAAATGCCAAAGCTAAAACATTTTAATATCATAATTATAAATATTATGATATGTGACATTCTTTATGCCTTAAGAAAAAATAAATAGGACAGACGCTGGAGTTATAAAATCTGAGACCTGTCAAAAATAGTGTTGGGCTTGTTGTTTAAGTCGACCAAGAGTTTGACTCGAAAATCACTAGTTCGTGTGTTCGACAAACACACGAAATTTCAGGGCGTTCGGCAGGCTTTTCGCCCACCGAGCACCCCCGCAAGGCACTGCGCACAGTGCATTGCCTTGTAAAGCCATGATTGGCTAAAGCCTTGCACCTGACCACCACAGGTGCAAGACTTTGCCCAATCAGGGCACAGTGCACTGAAGAACCATGATTGGGCAAAGTCATCATCTAGCTAGGTGTCACCACTTGCTCTGCCCAATTGTTTATATTTTGACGGCATCTGTCAGAATGCCATTCTGCGCTGGGAGTTCGCCGCAAGCAGACGGGCCAGCTGGGATCATGTTTTATTATTATTTCTATATATTTTTTCTTGTATTATTTTTAAATGTTGTTGAGTCGTGATTGGCCCTGGATTACGTCGGTAAATCAATTTTTTATGTGAATAAGCCCCCTGCTTGCACCCTCAGAACCAACGCCACAGGGCTTGTGGGGAAGAGGTCCATGTCCCGATCAGCATGGGGACAGGGTGCTTTTCCAGGGACGACCCTAGAAAAGTACCCTCCCAGTGCCAAGGGCATGTAGACTGGTGTGGGAGGGAGGGGGGCGCTTGCCCCCCCTTTCCGGCCCTGCTAGGCCTATGCTCGGATCAAGGGTCTGGTATGGAATTTTAGGGGGGACCCCACGTGTCCCCCCCATTTTTGGGGGAGGGTTTACTCCTTACAATTCCTACTAGACCTAAAGAGCCTGGTATGACTTTAAGGGGGAACCCCACACACTTTTTGTTTTGTTTTTTTACATGGGATCCCTCCTAAATATTAACCCTAATACCCTTTAGGTCTGGTAGGACTTTTGGGGGGAACCACACTTTTTTTTTTAAATGTGGTCCCTCCTAACATTCCTACCAGACCTAAAGGGTCTGGTATTGTTTGGGAGAGGGAACTGCATGCTTTTAAAAAAAATGTCATTTTTTTTCTTTAGAAATGTCAGTTTTGCTGCTGCAGGTTCTATACATCGTACAGATGTGCCACTTTACAGGCAGGTTAAGGGGACCCCCCAGGCACCATGATATTTAAAGGAATTTTTCATTTTTATTGTTACCTTTTAAGTGATGTTAAAATCACTGCTCCTTTAAAAACTGTATTTTTTTAAAGTTTTTTTTTTTCATTGATTCCTGTCCCCCAGGACAGTACCGGGATCCTCATACACTTTTTATAGCCAATAACTTGCATATAAGCCCTCTTGAAGGGGACAATTGTTTTTGAAAGTTCTACTCAGACTTGCATTGAATTCAAGTTCAAACTTTTTGGATAATCTAAAGTTCTAATTCAAACCGAACTCGGGCCTATTCGGCCCATCACTACTTATCATGATATTCATAACACAAAAGCAAGGGTAATGATGATAATATGTTGGCCTGGTTATGGGCATCAAACAAATTGAAGACAATTAAAAAGTCCTACAAGAAAACAGTGTAGGAAGAGGAATCACCAGCACTCAGTAGAATAATCCAACATGTCCATTTATTGGACATAGACGTCACACAATCACAAGAGCCAACATTGCATGTCTGAACTAACATGGTGCAAGCTAGTCATAGATTTTTGCAGGACACCCTTTTTGCTGAATGTGGACTATCTTTCAAACTATCCAAAAGTTCCTAATTTACCAGGTTATATCTCTCAGCTGCCCAGCTATTAATTGGAAGAGTTGAGAATTACTCTTTCTGAAATAACACAGATCTTTTTACCAAAATTACCAGATCTGACCAAATTTTGCTTAAGCTGCAGTAAAAAAAGATAAAAAAAATTTGGGGCAACAAAAAGCTCCAAAAAGGTGCATTTTTCAGAAGTAACCCTTGTTTGAGATATGACTACACTACTTACATATAGTAACAACAACATTTGATCTGTAGCAGGATGCTCACAAAGATTGAACTGTAAATAGAACTGCTCTTTATGTTTTGACTTGATCCTTTTTTATGTGAGATATTATTACCATGTGGTAGTGTACTAGTACGCATGTTTTTCTTTTATTAAGGAAGAAAGGTATATATACAGTATATTAATCTGCCACTTTATGATCAGCCAGGCCTTAATTGCATAATCTGTAAATATTACTTTGCTGTGAGTTGCTGCTGGGGACCTGTGTTGTTCACCTGTATGTGTTCATTGGAATGCAGTTTACTCCCTGCTTTGTTGTATGGTCTTTGGTAGTGGAATTAGTTTTAAACCAAAGTTCCAGTGTTCGCCCTTGCTTTGAACAACTAAAATCGAAATTACTAGACACCCTGAAAAGCTTGTAATGAGATTGTGAAAACATTTCATTACTATATACAATATAATTGTAATGTTAGCACTTTGACATTTTAAATACCTGAACCAATGAATAAGTTTTAGAACAAGTTTCCAGAACACTATGGACAGAACCATATGCAAGCATCAAAGTGACCTGTGTTAAAGTAGTAAAGACATAACTGGTAGCTGACTATCAATGCTAATCTCAGCTGAGTATGGCAAAGTTGTTAGGGGGAATCCTTGAATTCCCTATTACAATGCAGCAGGCAATAGATTATGTGGGTAGACTTTGTATACTAGTTAATTGCATCCCATATTTCAGGATCAAAATTGACAACAAAGTAATATATTGCATTAAAAAATTACATGACATCACATTAATTTAAATATATATAATACCATTTATACATTTACAGTGTGTGTTTTATTTTACTGTTTCCTTCCAGATATTCTGGCCTTCTCTAAAAGATTTATTTGTGCCTGTTTTCCTAAACTGCTGGCTGGCAAAACATGCTTTAGAGAACATGATTGTAAGTATAAAATGTGAGTAAAACACAATCTTATATACTCAGACCTATGAGCCAATAAGAGGGCCTTAACTAAAACCTGCTTCTGAGATTTGAAAATACATGCACATATATGAATCTCTCCCTAAGCTGAAATTCAGGTATACATATTCATCTATATTCGTCCAGCTTAGCGGTAATTCGTGCAACATTGCTGCCATTCAGTGAATTCCTAGTATTTTTAATATTGAGTTTTAGGCATTCTCTGATTGGCATCACTGTCCCTTGTCCAATACGAGAACACCTACAGGTTCATTCACTAAGCTGCCGAAGGCAGCCAGGTGAATAACTGAGCCAAAGTGAACAGAGCTGAACGACGTTCGGCTATTCACTCCGGCTCAGTATGGTTGATTTCAGCCATATATCGGCTGAAATCAGCCGTACATCGGCAGCCTACGGTCAGCAATGTTCAGCTGAGCCGAAGTGCAGGCAACAGGCAAACAAATAGCAGGAACACAAGGCACAAGTTGAAAGACCATTCAGCACTGATCCATTGGGCCAGCTGGTTTAAATAGGATCATCCATTAGAGAGCAATGTGTCATTTCCTGTGCACCATATAGCTATGCACTGCATTATCTTCTTTTCCTGGTGCCTTCATGGTACATACCTATGATAGGCCCCGCCCCCCATCCCACCTACAGGACCAATTAAAATCTATAAAAGTGAGAGAGTGACTCCCTCTAGGCCATCTTCTCTTTTTGACCTTGATCGCAACCTACAACCACTTTGCGCTCATACAGAGTCTCTGAGTAAATTGGAACATCTGAACAGTATGCTTACAGTGGACTTTTGGTGCTAAAAAACAACATGCTTTGTACAAATCTTTATATAGATGTATCTGGTACGATTTTTACTTTCCAAAAATGGGTATAGCCACTAACTAATGGTTAAAACTTAGTTGACACCATTTTATTTAATAATAAATTAAAAAAAGGAAAAATATATACAAATGTCTATAGTTTAATGGATCTCAGATCTTTGATATTAACTACTGGTATGTTAGCCTGACTATTTCTGATATAAAGGTTTGTCTTTGGCAAAGACAGCACTATCCATAAATATACCCTGCGTATTCATAAACCTTTCAACCACCCAGGGAAGTAAATTATGTAAAATGTATGTATTAGCATTACATTTAAAAAACAATTGTAAGTTGTGTTCCTGCCCAAAACTGATATTTTAGATAGATCACAGTAAGCGAGATCCTCAGTTCACAGCTAAGCACACCTACCGGGGTATTGTTGGCATTTTCATTTATTTTTATCATCACAAAGAATGCATCAGAATATTCTATTAATCAAATTAAGTTGTTTTTTTCAATCAATAATTTTTTTTATTTTGTTGTTTTTTTGTTTTCCGTATACAACATCATACAAACATATCAAAGGCATTCGTTTACATTTGATGGTTTAACATGAATCAATGGAAACCTCAGTTCTTCCCATACAACTAATATGACCATGGAGGCACTATACTGAGATATAGAGGTTAACAGTTGCTAAGTAACATTATTAATAAACTATTGCTCCCATATAGCCTGAGCCTACATGGGTACCGGAGATAATTGACATAAGGATAGATGGACATAGAGGGCACGCCGCCCTCATTATGCATCTAGGTAGGGAGTGGATCGGGGGG